AGAGTGTTTAGTAGGATTTCCAAGTACAACTTAGACTAAACCAGGTAGAGAATAGTTCTCAAACTCGGAGGGAAACTACTCATAAAAAAAGATTTTCTGAGGTCCAAACATGTAAGTATGCGTATGTGATCGGGGTTTTATTACCTGAGAGGGGCTCTCTGGTTTTAACCACCGCCTCCTCCTCCACCGTTTCCTCCTCGCCCTCTTGGGAGGCCTTGTCTGACATGGATTCCCTCTTCAGCTTGCCCAAACTGACCATCCTGAGGAAGGAGGGCCGCCTGGAAGCCTCCGCCTCACTGTCTGTGCTCAGGTCCCCACACGGCAGGCTCTCTCTGCGCTCCTCCTTGCGTCGACCTGTGAAGCTGCAAAACATCCACAACAGCAGCAAAGAACGTGAATGACTGCCGCTGCAAGAGCTTGAATATGACTCACATTCATTGTATTTAGTACAGTATGAATGCTATTTAGGAGAGGTTTGTTTTGTAGTGTGTGTGCCCAGAGGCAGCTACAATCACACATCAGCCCTGATTGCCTCTGTTAAAAATAGCTCATTTCAGTAAGAAAGTAAACAACATGTCACTGGAAAACAAAGGGGGTTCCGTAGATCAGCACGTTGTTATGGCACATTGCAATAACTCCACAGGATATTAACACACTATATGCTGTGTTTTTACTGGCAAGCAGAGGTAACGAGTGATTTTCCCTTTTAGTATATATACGTTCTCCAAGACTATCTAATAACTATGTTATTGGAGGTTATTTGATTTTGATTTCTGAAAATGTGCTTTGAATAAAGAAGATTTAGATTTTGTCTCTGTTACTATTCCATCTAAATTTTATTTTGCTTAATTTGAGGATGGATTGTTGAGTCCATTCAATGGTGCCACTCTCCTTTTAATAAAAATGCACTTTATCCTTTCTCTTTTAAATCTCAAAAGTCATGTGCTGTATATTAATACAGTAGGCGTATACATAGTACTTTATAAAAAGGCTCCCCTTTCCTTTTTGTACTCCACAATACCTGAAGCATTTCAACAAAAGCTTTTTACTCTTCATATTAGAAATCCAAACATGAGCTTCAATTAGATTCATTTAGTCTCCTTCCTCCCCACCCTTTCTCACCGGAGTAGGGTCATGATTCCCTCTGAGCCCCTGCGCAGCCCTTTCCTTTTCTCCCTCTCTGGGGGGAGTGTATTTGAGTCTCCAGGGCTGTAGTGGGGGTAGTTGTTCCCCCACACGTTGCGTCCCGATATGCGAAGCCCCTTCCCCAGTTTTCCAAGGGTTTTGAGGGGTGACACTCCACAGATCCGCTCCAGAGTCCCCCTGAGGGGTTTCCCTTTAGGGTTCCCTGCACCGTGCCTCTCTGCGTTCACCTCATTCTCCTCCTCTTCTCCATCACGGGAGGTCCTGAGCTGGTTACCCCTGACATTCCCCATGATGAGCCCCATGTCACCTCCATTCCTTTCATCCTCATCCAGGTCCACATCCTCAAAGGGGTTCAGGTTTTTGTTCAGATCCTTCAGGTCATTCAGATCCTTCAGGTCATTGAGTTCCCTGAGGTCTAAGTCCAGCCGGGGCAGAATCAGTTCACCGTTCACTCTGGGGAATTCGTGGCAGCTCTTGGACCTTCCCGGGAGCTTCTTCAGAATGGGCATGGTTGCAAATTAGTTTCTTGAAAAACTGAAAGACAAGAACAAGTTAGACTGGCAGCACAGTATCATGCTATTTGTAGTGCAGTCATTTATTATGTATGAGTCACCCAGAACAGATCAAACAATGAAAATGTGATTGACTCATTAACTTTAAAACGATTAACTGTATTTGACATTTCTACATATTTGACACTATCTGGTGCTTCATTTCTAATTGGGTTAAAACATAACCTGTAGGAGTCTATTGATATTTATTCAATATTGTGAAGTAATAACCAGGATATTTTACAAAATTCCCACGTACATTAAATTATTCTATTGTCTTAGAGAAAACATTAAGTTGTGTGACTGAAAAGTCAAATCATCAAATACGGGAAACTGTGTGTCAGATGGTATATCAGTCAGTTTATATAAGCAGAATCAAAAACATCCTTTCACGTGCTGGTTATGTAATGCTCTTCACTAAGCAAGTAGGAAATATGTATTCATAATATTGCTGCATCTACATGTGCTGCACTGCAGCCTTACATAAATATTACAGCTCTCATCAACAAACACTCATGTCGACCTGGTCAGGAAAGGTTGACCTGCAGCTTGTTGAGACTAACCTACATATGATTGACAGGAGTGGTGTATACAGTATACGATTCCCTGTGATGGGACTATTTCATACAGTTTCCTGATCTGACTTTAGAGAATTAGACTGATATAAAACAAATGTATTTGTTATTTCTGTCACAATGAGTTTCTCTCACTGAGATAAGTGAGTTGATTTTGTCAAAACACTGAACTGTTGTTTTCAGTGAAAGGCAACGACATGAAACAGAAATACATCAAAATATATATTTTTTTACAGCTTGACTTATAACATATAACTCAGGTGAAGCTGATACAGGAGGAGGAGCCCTTGTTCCATGTAATTCTTAAAGTTCAGGCTTCAGCAAAGTTACACAAATTTATATTTTCCAAAGTAAAGGAAACTCTGTCTGCAGAAATATCATTTTTATCACTGTAACCTTGGGAGATAACAACAACATTCTGATTAGTGGACGCTTTATCTCCCTAGCCCCGTGTCTCAAACACTTGATCTTGATGACACTTGATGCACTGTTGTTCTCACATTATATTACTTTTTGGCCTCAATGAATATATTTAAAATATTCTGAGCAATATGAATTTCACAAAAGAAAATGTGCTCTTAATATACATATTTAGATTAAGACAACTTGAGTGCCATATTGTTGATCTGGTGGAATCTTAAAAATTTAAAAAGGGATCATTTTATACTGACATTACATTTAAATCCTTTCTGCTTAATCCAAAACAAAGTGCTCACCTCTCAGCACTTCAGTTATACACGCACACTCTGCACACATTTCTTCTTGTGAACATAAAGTTACAATTATCTGATCTCAAGTGGACGTCTACACTGAAATCATGGTTGCAATTAATGTCTTTGAATCATTAAGAGAGAATAAACTGAGGCTGAAACAATTTAATAACCTTTGATTATCTATTCTACTCCCTATCTACTGTTTATTGGCCACTCACAGAGGTGGAGGCCAGCAAAACACTTGTAAAGAGGTTTACGATTCCCTTTAAATAAAAACTGTCTTTTGAAAATGAAAGGTGAAATAAAGACAGCTGGCTTTAATAAAGGATTCGGATCAATATGCAATAGTTGCATCTGTTCTGCTGTGAACACAAGTCGAGATTAGAACCTCTGTCACTAAAATACCACAAAAAGCAGAGAGAGTCAGCACACAAGACAAACAGGGTTTTTAAACATTCTATACCAGAGTAAGTGACAGTTTCAAACCTACAGTATGTCATCAACACAAAATGATGAGCAACTATTAGGCAACAACGAGGAAAACCTCAACAGAGAAAAACAATAACGTGGACACTGATATGCATCAGGTCTGTGAGTACAGAGGATGAGGACCTACCTGATGTGATGGCTTTGCAGTGTTTTAGTACAATGTCATCCTGGAGTGTGTGGCTGTGCGTGCTGCCAGGCTGTGAAGTGTGTGGATGTGTGTGTGCGACTGACAAGTGTGAGAGCGTGTCCGAAAGTACTCGGTGGCTCAAGAGAGCAATGTGGCTGCCTGCGGTTTCCTGACGGGCCCTATTGTGGTGGAAGGTGATATGTTTTCCTGAGGAAAGGCCCGTCCCGTCCTTTCGCCCCCCTCCTACGCCAAAGACCCTCTGTCCCCACCCCTACACCCGCACCCCAGGGACCTCTCTCATTACAGTAATTGCATTAACTGTACTGTAAAGGAAGATAGAGCTGGACAGAGCATTCCCCTGTAGTGCTTTATGATTTTAGCAGCTCTATGCACTTGTTTGTTTGCGTGCATGTGATCTTGTATGTGTGTGTGCGTGCCTTGACTGATTTCTAGTGTAATGAAGCAAAGAAGGAGGATGATTCAGTGTCAACGGCCTTGAGTCCAAATTCCATTCATACACCATCTGTAGAGTATTCTTCCTCAGAGGAAGACCTTAAGTGGACAGATCTGAACTGAAGTGGCTATCAACACTCTGCCGCTGCCACATTGTCTTTGGTCAAATGCAGCTTCAAGGTCACTGCAGGCACGGCTCTAATGTCACACAAAGACCAGAGCTGCAAGATGAAGCAGTTGAAGGATATATGCTGTGTGTGTGTGTGTGTGTGTGTGTGTGTGTGTGTGTGTGTGTGTTTGTGATTTGCACTTAAATAAGTAACCAAGCAAAGAAACATGTCAACAAGGTGGGACACCTCTTGAGTTCTGTGCTCTTTGTGGCTCCCTCCTGCCACCCAGTGTACACTTTGGGGTCGGACAGGATATAGAGTCTAGCACAGACATGACCTCACTGGACAGTGACCGATGAATGAATCGGTTAACTCCTTAAACATATTCATCATCATGTGATGTGAGTCTCATTCAGTCATCAAGCTTCTGTAAACTCCCCCGCCCTCAGTTCACCCTTTGAATATCACGCCCTATTTCTCTATGCTTCTTAACCTGCACTTTTATACATGTGTGCTGAGAACAATGTTGGACTTAATGTGTCACACTTATAATTCCACAAAAATATATATATATACACTCAAATTGACTCACATTCACATGATTCACATTCACCCATTCAATCGCTTTTTCTATCACACACCATTAATGCACAAGCAATTTCAGGTTTGATATCTTACACAAGGACACTTTAGAATGCAGACTAATATATTAAGATTTCATGGGACCTCCACAGATGAGTATCACTTTAAATATTTATCATTCACTGTATGAGTTTAGAGCAATGTCCCAGATTCCATAAGATGTAGAATACAGCAGGAAAAAGAACACACCCATGGGGAAATAAAGTTTAATTAGAAAGTAAAAGCTCTTTACAGAATCAAAGTTAAGTGAGAATAAGAACGAAACTGAAACGTAAATAATAAAGTGATGACACACATCATTAAAATCTAGTGTGAACAGGATTACTGCCAGTGTTACGTTTTATTGTAAAGTACAATCCATCTCTTTCCTGTAACATGACAATAACTAACTTTCATAATTTAACATAATCATATATGGATCTAAGTGAGCGGTGTTATCGAACGTGTGTTCAGTGGAAGGTGGAACGTACTGTAAGTGTGCCACAGTGCAGCTCAGTGTTACATTGTTACATACAGTGAGGTAAATGATGTGTATCAGGGTGTCATGTGAAAAGTAGAGCTGCACACTCTTCTCTTTTTCAATCTACTCTGATCAGATACTGCATTGGTGAGCGCAGCACACAGATAGGGACATTTCCCACTTAAAGGTGCTTAAAGGAATTGTTACATTGGCTTTCTCAGCAAGACTCTGACGAAAAGCTTGATATATGTCCACTAAATATAAGGCTGCAGTTAGCTTAGCATAAGGACCGACAAACAGGATGAAATTGTTCGATCCTCCCAAAAAAGAAGAGTAAGAACTGCTACCTGTGGGTTTACTGGACATATGGGCGAGACTATTGCTTGGCTGAGAGCGGGAACTCCCTGTAGTTGTGGTATCAATGAGAGGTTGCTAGAAGACCCGTGAGTACATTACTTGCGTGCACAATAACAAAACGGGGGTCTACACATTGACACAATGGGACATAATGGTGCTAAACTCCCCAGGGAACCTTTATCAGACAGATACCAAAGTGCTATTGACCTTCTCATCTGTGTCTGTTTTGGTTGGGGTCTTGTCAGAGGGTCTGGTTTTGGCCTCGAGTTTGGTGGTAGTGTTGGTGTGGGTTGTTGAAGTGGTAGGGCTCGTGGCGGTAGTGGCTGTGACAGATGACCGGATGCTCGATGCCTTCGCTCTGCAGCATGTCCTGCTTTTGAACGCCCTCCAGCTTCCCCACCAGCTCCTGGATGAAAGTCTGCAGAAGATCACAAGTGTCCCATTAAGCAGAGGCAACTGTTTTTCAATAAGCCTATTCAACAGATTATATACTGTGTAGAACTATGGTTCATGAATATCCTACAGTTGCGATATGTTCCTTCATAACCATGAGCGTGCACACTAGTTTATTTTGAGTCGATCTCCGTCCTGCTGAAACTCACAAAGCTTTAACTATTTACTCCTGCTTGAGCAAGAGTTTGCTAAAATCCAAAAGTATTAATAGAGCCCACATTCACAGTAGGGCTTAAAAATCTGTACTAGGTGCAACATCCTCTTGGCTTAACCCTTGAAAGTAAGGAAAAACTGCCAAAAAATGTGTCTAAAAACTATAAATGTTGCATTGAGTTGTATTTATGTTTAAAATATCTATACAGAAGAAAATGTCTGATATAGATGAAGGGAGAGGCCGAGCCTGGCTGATTAGGAAACTATTTTTAGCGGTTTTGGCCAATGATGCCTTTTTTTCTCTCTTTTGTTTTTTCAAAAAACTATGTTGTTGTTGCAGAGGAGGCAAAATGGACATTTTGTAAGGAAATAATTTCAGTTTCGTGTTAATACTTTATATGGAAACATCTGGAAGCATCTGAATCACTGGCCACTGACTGTAAGCCTCAAGTCACTCCTTTTTTTTTACATTACAATGTGGAAGTAGTGATAAGTTATTTTCCACCCTGTTTTTTTGTAGTACTTTGAGTGATGTTATGTCCATAGATGGAAGAAGGCCTCAGAGAGCAGCTGGCTCCCAGGAGGGGGTCCTAAAAGCCCAGTGGAGGAAGTATTTTGTGTTCTATAAATGCTCAAAATTACTAATGAACAGTAAAAACAATGTCAGTAAAAATGCTGTCAACACTCTCTAAACATCCTGTTTGGTTGACATCTGTAAGTGCTGACTGTGTATCAGGGTGAAATTGTATTGCCTGATAAAATATTCGGATTGTAGATGAGGTGTGTTGTGTCGACAGCACGAGAAGAAGCGGCCAAAACAATCAGCCCAATACTGACAAGTACTTGTTCCGCCCTGGATTCGCTTGTTTTTGTTTTCCTTCTAGAGACATTTGTCAGACGTTTTAAAGTTAAGTGCTGTCTCGGCCGTTCATGTTGACACCAATTTACTGTCTGTTCATGTCTTTAGGAGCAAACTTAAGTCACATGATGTAGATTTCTCTCAAAGGATAAGGAGTGGATCAAGTCTGTCTTAGAATAATACTCATATTCCCATACCAGCACTGAAACAAGTTTTATTTTCTGTAATCCCTTGTCGACACTGGATATTAATATATCCCTTTTTCTAATGCCCTTCCAATGCAAGTAATGGGAGACCTTTGCCTTCAGCCAGAGAGACTTTACACTAGTTTCTATTTTAAGACAAACCAAGATATTTTCCTAACCCCAACCAAGTATTAGTTTTGTTGCCTCAAGTGTGACTGAAAACTGTGGCCAGAAATTCATAAGGTCAGACTTCTCCCACCATCAATCCACAGTCCTCACTTTGGGCAAAAATACAATCTACAGTTTATCCGAAGTAAAAATAAGGCTACTGTTATTTGACACTCAGCACAGAAGCTGTCACCAAATCGTCAAATCTGTCACCAAATCCTCCTTCTACCAGACTCTGGCCCTCACTTCCGTGGCAGAAACCCTCACCCATGCCTTCATCACCTCCCACCTGGATTACTGCAATGGAGTCCTGTTCGGTCTACACGACAACATCCTGAAAAGACTCCAATATGTACAGAACTGCCAGGACTCTCACCAACACTAAGCCCTGGCAGCACATCACCCCGAATCTCATTCACCTCCACTGGCTCCCGATAAAGGCCTGCATTAAACCAAGCCTACACAGAACAAACTGTTTCAGTGTTTATATAGACTGCGTTGGGCCACATTACTTTGGAATGTAGTCAGTTACTGAATTCAAATTATATGGCAGTTTATTAAAACAAATTGCACTTTTTGTGACGCATGTGTCTGAAACTGAAGTGACGGACAGAGGCTTTTTAGGTGACAGCTGTTTCAACTGACTAGCTGTTCTTTTTCCTGCCACGAGGTGGAGCACTTGTCAACGAAACTCCTTGTGACAGACATGGCTCATCAGTGGTTCTTATGAAAAAATATTTTATTTACCATATTTCATAAAGCTAACCAACACACATTTATAAGCTTTAACAAATGATATTGTCGTAATATATAGTAAATATTATTGAAATTATTCTGCAATCCTTATGTAATCGCTACCCCACCTAGCATATAGGTGTGGCAATGCTGATTTACAACAGACTTGAAAATGTGCACCCATACTTTAATGAAGCAGCATAGTCTAATAAACTATGTCTGAGATAGCAGCAGCTTCCCCAGACCTTCCTGCTCCTCCTCCTGTGTTTGCATCTCTGAGCAGGCCACTGTTTCCAGACAGATTGATTGAGAGCACAGAATGCCATTGTGGAGGAATGTGGGGAGACAGTGATGAGGAGTCAGGTGCTGCAGCTTCAGCTTCCCCCTCTGTGTGTGTGTGTGGGTACATGCAGGTAAACATTGGGGAACGTACCTTTGGGTTGTTACTGCACTTCTGAAGAAGCTCCTGTTGTAAGAAGTCAGCAACACAAATGCATATTTATTTATCAATATTCTACAATAAAACACATATTAGATCACTGTGACTGAAGACATATATTCAACAATGTTGGATGATTCTGAAAATCTTCTATAACATAATCAGCACCTTCTGATACTTTTTGAATGACCTGGTTCATTTTACCTGCAACTTCTTCACTCTGTCCTCGGCGTTCGGCAGATCAATCAACTCGTCAATGTTTACCTCCTCTGGCATGTCACCCTCCTGAATTAAACACACACACACACACACACACACACACACACACACACACACACACACACGCACATACACACACACACAGACACACACACACACCCACACACACACGTCACAGTAAAAGAATGATGCTCTGAACTTTTTTCAGCCTCTGGAACACTGCTCTTCTCCGTACACTCCCACTTGAGTCTTTAAAAATTCCTCATGCAGTTCCCCCATATATTCCCACGTATTCAAAACCTTCACTACTGCTTGCAGCTTGTTGTACTTTTACTTACTGAAATATTTAAACCCACAGGAGCGGCATCAATACAGGAAATGGAAAATTATAGATGTTTCCAGTATATTTCAGCATATTTTAATGTTTTTAAGCAAATATTCAAGTTGGAGAGTATTGCTGAGAGTAGTGAATATTTATAGCCCTGTGTCTCCAGCTACCTTTGCTGCAGGCTCTTAGATTTAATAAATTGCATAAAACACCCTAATCCCCAACCAAACTGTCTGTGGTGGAGTTGAAGGAGTTGTGGGTAATGAAGGTAATGAAGGTACCAGGTCTTGTAACAATCTAACTGTTGTTTCTATATGTCATTAGCCCTATGAGAGAAATTGTGATATGTGAATATTGGCTATACAAATAAAATTTGATTGACTGATGTTGCTCGGGGGACCGATTTGTGTGGTACACCGACCAAGAGCAATGAGGGCAAGTAAGAACTGAATTAACTGACAGAGTTGAATAAAGTCACGAGGTACTAGCAACGGAACAAAATTAAACAGGTCTTGACAAAGAAGAATGTGTGAAATACATAAAAAGAATAGCTCTGGTTCTGCTGCTCTCATGTGTCTGAGACTCTGAGAGGGTTAGTGCAGCTTTACAAGTCATTCAGGAGACCAGAAATCATTAAGTCACAAATGCTGTGAATATCAAGAAACATAGAGACGCTTGAAGATAAATAAATAAATATATAAAAGCACAAGGATTAACTCGTGTGTCTCATTAACCTGTCGAACCAGGTTAGAGTAGTGTTAGTACTTCCTCATACATTTACCAAAATAATGCCCTCTTTGGTTTCAGCCTGCACCCTCTCCCTGCCAATCACTCGTGTTGTTAGACTCTGGGGCTGAATAGCAACAATGTTGACGCAGTACAGTAACAGGGGCCTGCTATGTGTGAACAAACAGCCATTGTACCAGCTGAGTGAAGGGACAGTCTCACCCAGCCTTCCACACCACTGCTCTGCTCTGCCTGTGGAATGAGGCAGAAGCATTGGCCCATAAGACTGTAACTGACAAAAGAATCATTCAATCAATGTCATTTTGTTTGTATAGCCCATATTCACTGTAGGAGCCTAGGTCCTATTGGAGTTCATTAATGTTTAAATAATAATTTAAGTTCATGTATTAAAATATATTTGTGTTGATTGTGGTAAAAATCTAGCCATTACATTATTTACAGTTAGATAATTAATATTGATAGGTTCATTTGACTTGACTTGAAATGTGTATGGATATTTGCAGGTTTAAAAATTGCCTATAGCACCTTTAATGCAGATTGATCTGTGTGCGTGGTTAAGCTGAGCGGGCAGTCACGTCAGGCATCATGGAGTGGAGCCATATAGTTTTTTGACCTCACTCGTTCACTCTTTTTATTTGTCTTTCTCTCGCTCATTTTTGTGTATCGTCATGCTGGACTGTTGTATCTTGCTTTATTTTTTTTTTGAAGTAAATTAAGAAAACTAACAAGAGGATTTTGTGGAGTTTTTCCTTTGAGTTCGAGGTGGATAACGAGGGTGAGAGCGTCAAGCTCATGGCTTCATTGTTAAGGAATCTACATTCACAAATCATAATTTGTCTCATTAGGGGTTAACAAGGGGCAAACTCATCAGCCCTTAGCCCAGAGGAAAACTACAAAACACTCTTCTAGAGAGTAGTGTATCTATGTTTAAAGTATTTATACAAAGGAAAATGTCGGACAGAGATGAGGGGAGTCATGGAAGAAGGAGCACTAATAGCTGTGACTTTTTAACATCTATGCAGTATGGCACTCAGCAGAGTCCGTCAAGGCCCAACAGTCCCCTTATGACATCACATTTAAATTCATGAGATCCTGACTTTTATTTAGACCTGGGACAAATTGCTCACACTCATAACTAACCATGCCTGATTCGTTTAATGGATTATTCTCTGTGGATATGCACGAAAGACTTGGTACCCTGCAATGTTAACAAAAGGGATTTGAAAGATTCCTGGATCTGCCCCCTGATGCGGACCCACGCTGACATTTTTATGGGTTCATGTTTGACTTATAAACAATCAATCCGACATTCATGGAAATCCGTCCATTTGATTTTGTGTAATCTTCCTTAAAAACTAACAAACCAACCAACAAACGGGTGAAAACATAACCTCCTTCACAGACGTAATAATGATGCAAGTCTGAGTCATTATTTAGGCTGTTAAAAGCCAAGAGGAATATATTCTAAATAGACCATTAGCTCCTTCATATAAAACAAATGTTTTGAGTAGGAGGTCGATTGAATAAATCACTGGCTTATAGGGATCTGTTTAGTCCTTATCTCTCACAGAGATGCCTTATTGTGATAATCTGAATCCTAAAAAAACAAACACTGAGCTTTACTCAACACAATCCTGCTTTAACGTCCAAAAATGAACTCTTCTCCCCCATGTCTCCCCCCTTAGAGACCCCACTCCCCCAGCAGCTGCCTCAGCAGCCACATGCACAGGGTCTACCTCCTCTAGGGACATGTACATGCTGCGCTCATCCGCCCTAACCTTCTCCTCCTTCTTTCTCCTCATCAGTCACACTCATCTTCAGCTCCACGCTGCCCATGTAAGGAAGAAACCCCCAAAGGCCGACACATGGACCCAGAGAAGAGGGGGACAGTTGTGGAGTGCACATCTGCACCACCCCAGGCCTTGTAAGGAGAACCAGGCCGGGCCACCTCTGCTCTGCAGTAAACACCTAATGTAACAGGAGACCTCAGCTTCAACACTGTGGCACAATCAACTTCCAACTCACTGTCATTTCTCATGCATATTGTCAATTTTTATTTTGTTGATGCACTCTGCTACATGCACCTTCTCTGTGCTGGGAGAGGGATCCCTCACACGTGGCTCTCTGCCTATTTCCCCTGTTAGAAGGGGTTTTGTAGGTTTCCCCCTCTCTAGTGGGTTCAGCTCTGAAGATTTGTTATTATGAGCTATACAAAAAACATTTGATTGATTGCACGATGCTTGTTTCAGTTACAGTCTCACGGGCCAATGCTCGAAGTATTGAAACTATCCTGATGAATGTTACTTGCTGCGTTGATGAAACCACACCAGCAAGCCTCCCCCTGCCCTCGGACACGCACCTGACCCGCGTACAGTCGATCCAGGCTCTCGTCGATCCACTTCTCCACGTCCAGCCGCCTCTGCAGCTCCTTCCGGTTGTACTTCACCGTGACCCGCGCGTGTCTCCTCGTGGGGTAACACCCGTGGTCCTGGTGCGACTCTTTGTCCGGCGACGTTACCCCGTCACCGGCCACAGGCGTCGGGCTGGTCCGGTCCTCTGCCATGTCTGCTGTGGACTGGTCTGACTGGTTCCTCGTGTCTTTCTGTCCGGAGGGGAGACAACTGGGAGGCGACTCCTCAGACAGGCTGATGCTGCTGCTGTTTGTTCCTCTGCTGTTTGGAACCGAGGAACTACTTACTTACACAATAGATCACATCATCTCCATTATTCATGCAGCACATTTTAATAAAGTGTAGCTACATTATGTGAATCAGAATCCTTTATTGTCAGTGTTCAACATTGTTTTAGCAGCTCTTCTTGTTGCAGCAGCATTTAACTGATTTTAGAAATCAGCACAAGAATCAAGAAGTAAAAATCTAAATGTACATTTTTTTTTCCTTTTATAAAAACACAGATAAAGAGAATAAACACAGTAAAGTGTAGTCTATATCTGACAGCAACTTGATGTTTGGAGCTCTGACAGACAGTTTTTAGATGCTTTCTTATTTCTAACTCATCTGTAAACCTAAAGTTTACTCAACAGCAGCAACATATTATCAAAATCAATATATTATAATTATAATAGTTATTAACCGGTCTTGCTGTCATTTAAAAAAACATATAAATCTATAAATATCCTCTGACAGAGCTGAAATATAATGGTTACACAACAGTTTTTGGTGACTCTCTCTCTCTCTCTCTCTTTGCTCCACTCACACCAACCTTTTGAGGCAGATGGCCACCCATGTTGAGTCTGGTTCTGCTGAAGGTTTCCTCCAGTCGAAGGGAGTTTGTTCTCTCCACAGTTGCTAAGTGTTTGCTTATTGTGGGAACTGTTGGATTTCTCTATTTCCCTAATATGTAAAATGCCTTGAGATAGTGTATGTTGTGATTTGACGCTATACAAATAAAATGTAATGAACTGAGCAAATTGTAATGCAATTTACATGATGTGCAGCCTATACCTGACACCACAACTTTCCAACTTCATGTGAGCACCGACAGACGCGTTTAAACAATAAGCTTCCTTATTTCGAACTCATCTGTAAACCAGAGATAAGAAAGAAACAAGAGGAAAAGTCCATCTGCAGAGGTCAGGGCAGGAAGTCACAGCAGATTGTGTGTCAGCTCAGTGCTCAGCTGCATCAGATCAGTTGATAATGTGACAGAACCTATAAACTGTTTGTCAGACGGATCATCAACACGTCAACATCAAAACCGAGTGACCTCAGCACCAAGTATACAACTTGACTTCATTAGAAACTTTCAAGTCACAGTTGGAAGAGGGCTTGTATAGAGAATTGCTTGTAAAAGAGGAACCATTGGATATATTACTTTTTACTTAGATCAGTTGTTAGTGTGTTTTTTATCTCCAGATTTCAAATTCATCTCAACAGGAAGTTTCCTGACATCAAGATGAGGGGTTCTCAAAGTGGGGACATGAGACCCCTGAGGGTCCTTGAGGGGATCCAGGGGGTCCCTGGCTGAAAGGGAAATCATTATTTCCACTATAATTTCATCCATAAGTAACATAATGAGAGAATGCATGACTCTTGTGGTCCTGAATCTAGTTTGTGTGAGTAGAGGGGTCCTTTAAGCACAACAGTTTGAGGACCACTGACTTAAATATTTGATTCCACTGTTGATGATAAATGTTTATGCACAGAGCTGGTCATGCCCCTTGAGTGTTTGATCTTTTACAATATTAGATAAATGGTAAAAGGTCTGATTCCTATAGCCTAGTGCCTGATGACCACTCATTCACTCACACATATACATTGCATATGTGCAGCACTGTCTTCACACATCGACACACACTTCAGATTTGGATTCAGGGTTCAGTAGCTTTCGTAAGGACACTTCGGCATGTGGAATGAGGAAGACTGGGATCAACTGTCAACTTCTGGTAAGAGGACAACCCGCTCTACCTCCTGTGCCACACAGAGTTTTAATATCTATGACTCCATCGTGTGGAACAGAGACTTAAATCCAGAATCACTTCAAAGCAAATCTTTTATTCCACATCACAACCACCACACAATGAAATTAAATAACGTGAATGAAAACATGGAACAACACAAACTTTGGCATGAAATCAAAATGGCACATGAAAGAGCAATGTGATCACTAGTATATATAAGCTATATATATTTAAATTACAGTAATGGCTGTCTCTTGTGTGGTAAAGCACATTTTCCTTTATATCCCTGCTCTGAATATCTTTCACACCAGCCTGCACAGCTCATAGAACGTACAATAACATCAATCATCGTTCTTCATTCAGCATCATATAAATATATCTCTACATCTGTGACAATCAAAGAGAAGTGATAAACGCAAGGTTTCAAATAAATAAATAATATAAAGAATAAAAATGATGGTACGCACAATAAGGAAAAAATGGCCAAAGGAAGATTGAAAAGTCAAAAAAAAAATTCCCTGTTTAAAAAAAGATAAACAATGAAACAAAGTGAACATATTAAAGACAACAACCCATTAAAACATATTTTGGGCAGTTTTTCCAAAGGTGTGACTTCCTGTATTTGGTTTGTGTTGTAGGTCCTATGAAAAGTGGGTCGTGTTATTTGTCTCTTTGGGTCTTAAACATGGAGGAGCTTTGCCCTGTATAGTTTTATAATCTTTGTAAAACATCTTCATCAGAATAGTTCATTCATCAATATTTTGCTTCTCCTTACATTTTTAATGGTATATTATCTCCAGCATGAGCAGAGCAGTGTTCAGCTCATGAATCACGCTCCTGTCATGTGCTCATGCTCACTGTGCACAAAGAGAGAGGTGTAACAAGTGCTAATTTCTCCTTCCCCTGCTTCAACGTCCATGTCTCATCTCTGCTTCATCTCAGGCCTGCTCCAGAGCCCAGGCCGGCCTCGTCCCTCCACATGAAGTCCTGACGCTCACCTCTGGCCAAGCTGCTCTCCACAGGGCTGTGCCTGTACCCAGATCTGCCATCTGGGCAGAGGGAGAGGCTGAGGCGAGCTGTGCTGTTACTTATCTTAAACAGGCCGTTTGGTCCCAGGAAGGCCTCTCTCTCGCTTCCTCCCACATTGTTGACCGTCTCCAAGTCATTGTAAACTGCAAGGTCGCTCAGCTGCTTCCTCCCTTGCAGTCTCCTCCTCCTCCTCAAAAAGATAATGCCTGCCACCAGAACCAGCACCAGAACAGCCAGAATGCAGGAGATGGTGAGGGTGGCGGAGGACGGCTGGGAGGCTTGGCGCAGAGCTGGCTTGAAACTGGGCTGAAGAGTGAACTCACAGCTCGGACCCATGAAGCCCTTAGGGCACTGGCATACTGGTCCCGTGAAGTGGGTGAAGCAAGTGCCACCGTTCTGGCATGGACGGGCACCACAGGCGTCTGAGCGCACACTGCAGTTCTTGCCGGTGTACCCCAGGGTGCAGGAGCAGGTGTAGTCGTTCAAACCATCTTGGCAGGTTCCGGCATTCTGGCAGGGGCTTGAGGCGCAGTCGTCGATGTTTATCTGGCAGTTGGCTCCGGTGAAGCCTGCCTGACAGCGGCACAAGATGCTCTGACCAAGATCCAGACACTCACCCCCTGCAGAAGAGAGAAATACTGAGGTCAGCAACCAAGCGTTCAAAGAAAACCATTCAGTTAACCTCTGAAGGTGTTTTATAAAGATAACATTCAACACCTTCTCTCTAGTGTTGACATTGGCACATGTTCACTAAAAACAAATTCATATCGAGCCAAAAGAAAACTGTTGTTTTGCTGTTAGACCACAAGGGGTCACCAGAGAACTGCCTCTCCTCTCCCCACTCACCATTCAGACAGGGCCTGTTGCTGCAGCGGTCCAGCTTCTTCTCACAGTTGGAGCCGGTGTAGCTGGGGGGGCAGCGGCAGGTGTAGCCTCCGGTCATCGTCTCGACACAGGTGCCACCGTTGAAGCAGGGACCATCTGCACACGTCATGGCAATGATCTCACAGTTTTTACCATAGAAGCCCTGAGGGCAGGTGCATGAGTAATCATTCTCCAGGTCCTGCGGAGGGGATGGAAGAAAAACCTACATGTTAATGAGGAAAGTTTGGGACTGCCATGAATACTGGACTGTAAGTCAATCGCACAGCTGGCTGTAACCCTTAGTATTGTTGTTTTGGCATAAGTCTGAATGGGATCAGTTAGGTTTATCTTATCTTGTCTTCATGGACTTCTCTCTTTTTTTGTATAAGTGCACTTTATCTTATACTTACATTGCAGCTGCCTCCGTTCTTGCAGGGGTTGCTGTCACACTCATTGGTTTCCAGCTCGCAGTTGGTGCCTCCGAAGCCAGGTCTGCAGGTGCAGGTGTAGCTACCCTGTCCGGTGTTGGTGCAGGTGGCACCATTGGCGCAGGGCTTGTGGTTGGTGCAGTAGTTGAGGTCCTGGTCACAGAAGAGGCCCCCCCAGCCCTCCTGACAGTTGCACTGCCACGGCTGGCTGCACGTCCCGTGGAGGCAGCCTGGATAGCGGACGCATTCGCTGCAGGAGGGGCCCTGCCAGCCCATGCGACACGTACAGCCCCCTGGGGCCTCGCAGTAGCCGTGCTTCTCATTGCAGTCCGCCGAGCAGATGGCTGTAGAGGAGAGGGAGGGGAGGGTGTGTGATTACAATGGGCACGCCTTCTCATACAAACACACTACTGGCCCCCCTGTCTGACCCCAGTCCTGCTCCAGACTTCACTGTTGGTTAAGTATTAAGCCAAGCAGCTGGTAGGCACACTGCCGGAGAAAAATGCTTTCTTTTATCTTCTTCCCGTTCCACACACACAAAGACACCCAGATCACCTTGAAAAATGAGTGAGTGTATCTGATGGGGCCACAGTTCTTTCTCTCATTGTAATAGAGAACAAAAGGCAGATGGGACACTGCAGACTGTCTTTTTTAATAGTAAAACACAACACTACAGGATATTACTCAGGGAAAGGGATGACTGTATACACTCTGAAAACATTCCTGCTCGAAGTGTCGGTGTAGCACATCAAATATCAGCTCACACACACTTTTTATCCTCATGCTTTGACAAATCTTTAGTCTGATTTATGAATTCATGGTAGGAGGAAAGTTTGGGATTGTCCCTTTGTATTAATATTTTGTGATCTGACTGGTCGTCCCCAATATCTAAAGGATCTCAATCCCTTTATGTAGAAGTATATGTTTATATATATTTTATACTGAAAATAGAGAGCTTGGATCTCTGGCTATCCTCACTGTCTCAGTTCTCAGAAGATTACCATTTATTTTACTCTATTCACCCTTTTTATTGTTTGTTATCATATTCTGTATTACACTGCATATTTATTTACACGATTATGTCTTACTGTAGTGCTGAGTTGTTGTTTTTCCCAGTGGTAACATTGCATTAAAGGGTGTCATGTAAACAAAGTTAACTAATGTATTTATGAAAGTATCTATAATACAGGTTTACTAAATCAATGCAATTTATTGTTTGTGAAGATTAAAAATGAAATTATAAAATGTATTCAAAATAAATAAAAGGTAGGCTATTAAATGATGTTGTGACTGTTTAAATTATATTGAAGATGTCCTAATATACTTAAACATATTGTATGTGTGGATTAATTTTGTGCTTTTTTTAGGGGAGGATACATTTCCCTCCACAGGTTAGTCCAGTCAGTGGACCATTAGTCTACAGGATCTGAGTGCCTTGCTCGAGGGAACTCTAAAAGCACTTACGCTCAGAGCAGTAGTTTCCCTTCCAGCCCTCCAGGCAGATGCGGTTGCCCTCCTCTTCGCAGGTGTAGTGACCCAGCGTGTCGTCCCTCGGTCTGCAGTAGTCTGCGCAGCCGTCTCCAAAGTAGTACTCATCGCAGAAGACGTGATAAGAGTAGCGCAACTCGCTCTGCTCGCCAAAGTGCACGTCCTGGGACCAGTCCTCCCCGATGGCCAGTCTCCTCTTGGTCGCCAGGCGGCTCACGAGATTGTTTTGGTTGTCTGGGGGGGTAAATAAAGTTTTTTAAACTGGTGCATCTTGCAAATAAGCTCGTGCGTAATATGGTAATACGATCCAACTAATGAGAGTAGAGACAACAGCACCACCTACCTGTGTATTCAGTGGGAGATTCGGCGTTCCAAGCTTCAATGATCAACGA